TAAGTTATTATCGTCATCCCAACTGGGTCACTTTATATTTTTATGAACTGACCTATTTTTAGATCGAATGAAGAACACTTTACTTTTCATCTGCACTACAAACATTCTGGTACATTTGCTGACTTTAGATATGAAGAACTGTCTGACCCAGAAAAATCCGAAGATGTGCGACCCTATTCTAGTAACTCTATTGAAAATGCGACCCCATTATAGTCAATCCAGTCGTTAAAATGCGACCCCATCCAGCGGCACATGTCCATTAGCCTCTTACAAGGAAGTACCCCCCCCGGCACTTTTCATTACATCAACTTTATACATTGAATGAATTTACTGGACAACAATGTTTCTAATTTGTATTTTCAACCTTTTTTGCGTGGCTTGGTAGTTTTAATTAAGCGACGGATTTTTTTGTCCACCGAAAAAAGAGCATAATTAGCAATTTTACGATTTTCAAGGTGTCTAAATGAACTAGCCTTCGTTTGTTTGTTTGGGTCCTTATCTAAAATAGAAGTTTAACCATTCCTAGCCTAGTTTTTTGAAAAATTACGTCTTTGTTCGGCTTTCTAATAGTCCGTTTTTCTTAGCTTCGAGTTCCCCAAGGACGGAAAGGTCCACTAGTTGTGGGCAAGTTGATCTGTTTCTATAATCGTATTTTTGGGTGATGTGAAGTCACTTTTATCAATTCACCGATAACTCAAACTCCATGCGCTTAACAGATGAGCCGTTACAAACAAAATGGGACTGAGGTTTCACTTAAATAAAAGTTCCGTCTAGTCAATTGTGGATTTTTATTATGCTCAAATTTTGGCCTTATTTTTAGTTGCCTCTCGGATGTCACCTTTTTCTCCGCGCATGCGTTTTATGTAGATATATTCACCTGGCCCACAAGGTTTCCCACGGAAGGTTGAAAATAATGCTTTAGGCTACACTCTTCACAGCATCTCTTGATTTCCTTCATAACGAACAAATCTTTCGCCTTTTACTAAAGATTTCCGTGGAGGAGAACAATGGAATGAGTCTTAAAACTAATTTTTCATCGCCCTGCCTTGAGGCGGGGCCCACGATTAGATACCAAAGTTTCCATATGGACGACCACCGCTTTACGGAACGGACACCTCCTTATTCAGATTATTACGGACAGTTTGCTTAGTTCCTGAAGAAGGAAAGCCATTACATTTTCTCTAAATTCAACCCTCTTAATACGGACACCCCATTAATACAGACATTTTCTATGGCCACTTCAGTGTCCGTATTAACGTGACTGTACTTACATAAGCTCTCATACTTGACCTTTTCTCCTTTTCAGGAGGACCACTATCCGCAGTGGAGCCCAGCCCTCAGAAGGTTTTGGAGACGCGGTCGCAACCGTGTGTATGCATTCTGGTTTATCTCATTCAGTATGAGTGCCGTGGTAGCTACTGCCATTACAACTGATTATCTTAACTGGGACGAGATCAGCAGGGACTTTATGCCTACAAATGAACTATCCAGGGCTTTTCTCGCTTCATTTATTCTTGTTATGGACCTTTTCATTGTTATGCAGGTACAGTTAATCCCTTTGAAAAAAGGCCAAGAAAACATTTCCAGTACTTTTCCTCGGTTATTCACGATCAGTGTACACTCTCGTCAGAATTTTTAACTAAGGTCACGGTACAGGCCATTGACTCTTGGACCCAGCAGTCGTCTTGTCTTATTCCGTACACAGTTCAGGGACTTGAGCCGGAGTCGACTGTTTCTAATTTTTCAACTGAGATACTCAAATAAGCTCATCCTTGCAAGAAAAGTTCTTAAATTGGCCTCTTTTTGAAAGCGGGGGTTTGTGAAACTTCTAAACGACATAGGGATGGAATGGTATGAGTTAAGAGAGGCAAGAAGCCACATTTTACAGATAATAAGCACTTCCTAGAAAAAAATACCCCGCAAAATAAAACTGTAACCCAGCTGGAAGCCTATAAATTGGATCTCGGCAGAGGAAGCTTTATTACTCGTTTTTGCCTCTCCACTACATGTAGATGAAGGTTCCACTCGCTCTGGGAACTTTAAAGGACAAAGCCCCCAAAACGCTGTATAGTATGCTATTGATAACTTGACTTCAAACAGTCATTACCCAAGTCAGTGACTGTCGTTCTCTTTTCACAGGATTGGGATTTCCCTTACTTTGATGGAAGTATGGATATCAAGCTTCCGGGTCTAAACACAGGAAATTTTCATTTCCGCGTTCCTGGAGGAGAGATTCGCATCACGGGAAAATGGTTCAATTATGGCATCATCTTTATCGTCATGATCCTTGATCTCAACATGTGGAAGAACCAAATATTTTACGAACCTTTTGTGTATGGCCAGTACACTGATGACCAACAGTACATCTATACTGTTTCCGATAAAGATTTCCTTGCCAATGCAACTGATGAAACTTTGAGTTACGCATGGAGATGGACGCATGTTAATCCTCTGACCAACAAGACTTACGGCTCAGAAGATCAGAAAATGAACTCAAGATATATAGGGTATCCTCTGAGTGCCAAGGGCACGGCTTTCATTCCATCGCTTCTGGCATTTACCATGTTTGGTATACTTGTCAAGTATTTTTCTAAAGGTGGTCCGCCGAACAAAGTTGTGCCTGCCAACGAGATGAAAGATGTCATAGCAGATGCAGCCGATGTAAAGGATGGCGCCGAGGATAGCTCGTCTTCACCACACATTACGATGAGCCGTCAATCAATGTCAAGTTATAAAAGTGAATATGCTGTCAACAAAACCCGAAAGCATGGTTCGCTTTTTAGTATGGATAGCTCACACGACAACCTTGAAAGTTCACAAGATAATCTAGACAGTTCGGATGAGGGTCTTCAAATTTTACCTGAAGGGATAGAGGAGCACAGCGTCACCCGCCCGGCTTGGTCTGATAGCACACCAGAGAAGGTGCTTCCAGAGGGCAACGGGCCTAGGCGTGACAGTTTAACAGTTGACAAATCGTCAAAACGTCGTCAAAGTTCTACAGATCACCCGGACAACGAAACTATAGCACAGGACATCTCTGTCACGAATCTTGATCTGGAGAGCGAACAAAGCAAAAAGAATGTACTGTCGGCTAAAACTTCTGTCGGTGACAGTAGCACAAGAGCCCTCTCATTTGGTGATCTATTTCGTCGAGACCCACCCACTGGGTCAAGATCCGTAACTCAACTTTCAGATGTGGTATCCGATGATGAAATGAACAGTAATGTGGGCGCTAAACCAGCTGTTGAAGAGGGACAAAACTTCCTTCAAATACCTCGGGCTTAGCAGAAAAACTCAAGCTATAGAACACTTATATTATAATTATTTGCAATGAACCAAGCTCCGCTATTTAGCATGGATGCGGTCTTGACTATTCGCACGTGCGTATAATAGAAATTGTCAAATATAGGCTGTAATAGGCGGGATTTCCACATTGGCAGAGTCTCATCTCCAAATAACTGGAGGACCCCAGAGGAACCACTCTGATCAAGACCCAAAGATGAGAAGGGGGCCGGACCTCAGAAATAGTTTTTGTTGACCCTGAGACTTTAGATTGGGCTAAAGATTAGGTAACTTACAATCTTGGTCAAAATAAAAAGAAAACTTTAGAACCCCTTCCCTTCCACACTCTAGAAAATGGCCTTCGCGCGACTTCACTCTTGATTTTGGGAGGATGAGGGGGGGGGAGGAAAGATATTCCATTTTATTCTGTCCAAGATTGATGCTCCTGGCTTAACCTCTAGCTCTTCTCCTTGCTAAGAAAGAATAACTACATTTATTCGCCTTAGTTTTCTGGCACCTTTGCACCTTGATAAGTAAAAACTTGATAACAGATAAATAGACAAACAAAATAGAAAAAAACAATCGCTGTACTAGTTTAAGACTCGTTTAATTGGCTTGTTGGGTTAAAGTTGGACTGATGGGGATTGATTCACCAGCCTTTAATTGATGAACTCTTGGTTTGCAACGTGGTAAGGCGGCCATGCATTAAAAAAGCTTTAGTTTCCAGATTAGGGAAACGCTTTTGTTCTTGTCTACCAACATATCGGTCACGACATTAGCTACAAAACCAACACTAGTATATGTGTCAATATTCGCAAAGACAACTCTTACTGTGATCACGAACCTTGATAAGGAAAACAAGCTAAATCACATGACCGACCGCATGAAAGGCTCTGTTCGTTTAGCAGCAGGTAGGGGCAATTTAAGACCTCTCAGTCTAGAAGTGTATGAAATCTGGATAGATCTGTATAGAAATCTTAGACTTCATATTGGAGCCTTCCCTACCTCGAAAAAAAACAGAAGTCGTCCCAAAGGCTGTTAGCTTGACCTACTCCTCTTCATGATCCCTGCTTTTGTTGGTCACCATAGCATTAGCTTACGAGAAAGGGGACAAAAGATCCTCTGGACACTTGGCTGTTCCTGTCAAAAGACCAGTTGGAGGAGCCGACGGGACACTAGCTGTTTATGCAATTAATTCGTTTATTGTTCTATTTCAAAAGACTCAGATAAACTTACCCTGGACGCGAAAAGATCCAACAACAACAGCATCAATACCGCAGCGCCTTTTTTCTTTCTTTCTTTTTTTTTGGTAACGGTGGTGGGGAACACCACATGGAGCGAGAAGAGGAGGCGCCTGCTGTGAGCGCCCTAGTTTTCGGGCCCTTTTTCTACGATCTCTGGCAATGCAATTTCATTGGCTATTAGCACCTTTGGGGGTTAGTCGGTCTGTCTCTTTTCTTTTTCTCTCCTCGTGTGCGCGCGTCCTCGAAATTTCTCCCTTTGCCCTGATAAAGCCCGGCGCCTGCTACACAGGCTACAACAACTTAAAACAGAACCAGGCAATAGTGTCACAAATTGTATTTTAATGAGTGATCCATTGGTACTGTTTTTAAACAAAAATCAGAGGACGTCTTACATACATAAATCGATTATTACTGAGCAAGATATCTTATCAAAAATTACAAATTTCAACCAAGAATGAGAATAAAACGGGAAGACTACCAGCCCTTCTTGTCAATTTTCTTTTTCTTCTTTGGTTTTGGACGCCATGTTGGCTTTTGGGAAGCTGCAGATACAACACGTTCGGCAGCTTCGTTTTCCAACCGCGCCTGTCTGTCAAGAGAAAAAACATTCTTACATTATTAACTTAGACGCTGTATTTTCTATCTTTAGGTACTAATTAGTCGCCAGATCTGCCTTTCATGCACCCCTGCGTATTCAAATTTTGGACCTAGCAAAATGACGTCTGAGAAACACAGAAATTCCATACTGATGACGCGTCACTACCGAGATATGGATAGTTTCTCTGATTGGTCGTGCCGCGTGGGAAACTTGATTCAACCAATCAGAAGCACTACCCAGATCTGGGTAGTGACGTGTCGTCAGTATGGAATTTCTGCCCTCGTTTCTCATACGTCATTTGGCGGGGAAACCAGTGGTAGCGTTTTCACAGGCTATTTAATTTTTAGATCACAGGAAGTTTTAAGCGAGTCGCAAATCTGATTTCTCTACAAAGCGTTTTACAAATGACATTTGTTAAACTCCATGACTGATGATTTGATGTTCAGGTCAAAAACGAAAGGACTACAGACAATGCACGGAAACTACCAGTAAGAATTTGCTAAGAACAACCTCGCGTTCTTCAAAGACGATCACAGGTGAGGTCATTCTGAAAACGCTACAACAGTATAACATTGTCAGTCTTAAAATTTTCCAAATAGCAAACTAGTTGGCGCTTCTTGAGGATCAATTCTGTTGTCGAGTTTTCCGAGTTGATCTACTTGCCACGTACATTTGTTTCAATTAAAAGTGCAAGTCGGGACTCACATACCCTCGTCTCCGAATCACATATCTGATCGTCTCGTTGATGAAGAGCAGGGTAGAAACCAACACAAAACTTGTAATCAGTGTTCTGATTATTTCCTGTCTGGTAATACCGCCGAACAGGGATCTGATGTATGTCACGTGACCTGTGGATAACAAAACAGTATATTATTACACTCAGAAAATTTCCAAGTCACTAAGATTAAACGGGTACGGCGAGTTGAGATGTTTTGGTAAGAAAGTCCTATCTAGCGTTTGACTGAGCACCAGGCAACTTTTCAAAAAAAAAAAAAAACACCGTTTCCCATCAAGACATTTTTCGGTTTTCCTAATCCCGCACCGTATCCCAGATCCCGAAAGTACCCTTCCAGTTCCTGAGTCTGAAGTGTTTCCTTAGCTACTACGGTCAAGCTGTGCTAATATAATTTACTTTACAAACAGGATATTCACTTACTCTTAACGTATACAGCGCACAGCGCAGAAACGGTATCAATGAAGGCGCAAATCGAAGAGAAACAGAAATTAATAATCCATGCAATCGTATCCCAAATTCCGTTAGCCAGGTCAGTGAGTTGGTACCAAGTCCACTCTGCAAAATCGGTTGCTTTGTCCCAAGTCCACCGCGCCATCCACAAGATTTGCTGCCAGGTCCACTCAGCCATAAACGGGGCCTTGTCAAAGATCCACTCTGCCGTAAACTTAACTCCGCCGCAAAATTTACAGGTCATTGTCGCCACAAAGCCAACAGTTGTTTTTGATGCCCTGTTTACTCCGTTCCATGTCCAAGCTGTTATCGCCACTGTATTCCTGCGCAATTTGTTCCATGTCTGCTCCGTTAGACTCAGAGGCCTGGGTTCACAAGTTTGGTTGTTGTAGTGAGGTACACTTTCTGGGTTCAAACAGGTTTGCGAGTCGTGATTCTAAATAAAATCAAGAATTTTAAAATCAAAATTGAAACTGATCAAGATCTTTAAGACGATTATCTTGTGATTGTTCAATGGCAAAAAGTTTTACTCTGCGTGCACTTCTTTTGAAACTATCAGAAAATCACTCAACGACATTTTATTCATGAAAATAAATAATCTGTTTGCCTTATAGCAATTAGATGCAAGCTTTGAAGTTTGACTGATCATTAAGTGACGTTACTTTTGTGAAAGTTCAAACGCACTGACATACAGTGTGTGCGGTCTATTACCTGTTCCTCTTGGAAAGTACTGTAGATATCGCCTTGTGCAGAGCCAGTCTCTCGAACAACCACTTTTAAGTCAAGTTTCAGGGTTTTAATTTGCATCTTGATGATATAATTCTGTCGTAAGAGTAGCAAAGAACAGCAATAAAGGTTTGAAGAAAAGAAGAAAATAAACTAAGTAGTCTAACTAAATAAGTATATCAAGTAAGCGCTTTTATATCATGCTTTTTTAATTATCTCTTCTTGTAAATAGTTTGAAACCAAACTACGGGTTGTAGTCCCAACAATAATTTAAGAGCTTCAGTTACTTGGGTTATGTGAGGCCCAGTGTTTTAAATAACAAATATAAGTTATGATAAGAATCCAAGACTTCAAAGTTATTTAAAAATGCCATTTGCTTGAAACGTGATAATAAATATCTCTAATGGTTTAGTTTATCGCAGCCCTTAAAGAAACCTTTACCTTTCCTTGCCAGTTTCCGATGACAGTTGCTCCATTTGCGAAGTCTTCATAAAAGAAATCTGGTTTTTCAGCCATGACAGGGTCTGCAGAATGAAAAGGAGGTTGTAACTTTTCAAAAAAGAACTTGGTCATCAAGTTCGATTTAAAACCTTTGCCTGAAAGTGGCCGTAAACTTGACTTGGTTACAGATTATAGTTCACGGTAAGATTTTTGAAGACCAAAAATAATTTAAGATCATATAAAAACCCTAATCCCAAATGATCACAATTTTCATAGCTTTTACACCAGAGTTTAGTTTTGTCTGTGGCGCACAGTAATGTTAAAGATCCATAAAGTGTTGTTCTTCTGGAATTATTTGTTGAACACGTCACGAGCAACTGTCGAAGCGCGAGCTAATGCAAGGAGTAATGCGCACGTGTAACATTCTCGGTACCATAGCAACTGAAATAAAGCTTGACTTTCGCAAAACATGATTTTAAAAAAAGTGTAAAGTGTCCCTTTTTAAGAAAAAAAGATTAATTTTACAATAGATAAATGGCCCATAAAATTCTCCATGCAGATTATATAGAGTTGGATGAAAAAATGATGCAAATGTTTGATTTTACTATTACAAATTATGCTGCAAACTTCCAGGAAAATATTTTTCATTGCTCGAAAAAAACAAGCCGCCCAATCTCTTTTTAAGACGCCTAAAAACCTTACCTTTACGCACTGCGTTAAGCGTAATTGAAAGCAGAAGTAAGCCCACCAACGCGGTAAGCAAAAATATAATCCTCATGATTACAAAGAAACTTTTTTTCTTTTCACACGAAGCGCACGTCTGTTCGCTTCAAAGAGAAGTTCCAAATGATTGTATGACGTCATAATCAGAGTTTTACAAAATCAGCTGGGCGCTATTTATGCGCGCGCAAGTAGTATGTTTGACTTATTTATTCTTGAGTTTTATTTTTGCTGTTATTTATCATTTATCTATTTATGTATTCAGCTCTCTGTCATTTGATACAAGCGCTCTTGGTTCTGGTTTCTGAGTTTGTACATTACGCATGCTTTCCATGTAAATAATATATATTTATAATGTGCCCACAAGGCTCTTGGCGTCACGTTCAACATAGTACTCTTGGCTTTCAATGCACGTTACCTCTGGTTTTCCTTCATCACGAACAAATCTTTCGCCTTTTACTAAAGATTTCCGTGGAGGAGAGCAACTGAATGAGTCTATAGACCAATTTTTCATCGCCCTGCCTTGAGGCGGGGCTCACAAAACAGATATCAGTGCAAACCAATATTTATGGCGTACATTTGAGGACAAAAATAATTGAAAATAAAAGACAATTTGAAGTTCAAAAATTAGACTATCCATGTCGAAATCTCGTCATATGAATTTGAAATCGCAATGAACGCAGTCGAAATAGCATCATTCGAACTTGAAGTTACTTTGAACAAGTTGAAACTTTAAAGGGAAAACTCGACATCGCGGATGTTGAAGTTCAACTCACCATTCCAACTAAAATGCAAATTACATGATTTGAACTTCAATTCACCTTCTCCACTCTAATAAGCCACTTAATCTTCAAAAATGCAAGCATAATGTTCCACAAAATTCCAAATGAAACCTATAATTTGAACTTAAAGTCACGTCACATATTCGAATTCGAAAAACCAAAATTTCAATTCGAAAGGAAGCGGAAGTAAAAATACACAGGAACCGGAAATGATAAGAGTTTTTATGATAAGAGCTAGAGGTTAAAACAGGAGCTACAATCTTGGACAGAATAAAATGGAACATCTAAACTCTCCCACCTCATCCTCCAAAATCAAGAGTGAAGTCGCGCGAAGGCCATTTTCTAGAGTGTGGGAGGGAAGGGGTTCTAAAGTTTTCTTTTTATTTTGACCAAGATTGTGAGTTACATTATCTTTAGCCCAGTCTAAAGTCTACATGATGGTCGACAAAAATTATTTTTGAGGTCCGGCCCCTTCTTATCTTATGGTCTGCATCTGCAGTCACGTTAATACGCAGACTGAAATGGCCATAGAAATTTCCGTATTAATGGGGTGTCCGTATTAAGAGGGTTGAATTTAGAGAAAATGTAATGGCTTTCTATCTCAGGGACTAAGCAAACTCTCTGAATAACGAGGTGTCCGTTCCATAAAGCGGGAGTCGTCTGTGTGGAAACTTTCACATCTTATCGTGGGCCCCGCCTCAAGGTAGGGCGACGATAGATTAGTCATAGAACTCATTCAGTTGTTGTCTTCCACGGAAATCTTAAGTAAAAGGCGAAAGATTTGTTCGTTATGAAGGAAAACCAGAGATGCTGTGAAAAGCGTAGCCTAAAGGATTATTTTCAACGTGCCGAGGGAAACCTTGTGGGAAAGGTGAACATTATCTACATAAAACGCATGCGCGGAGAAAAGGGTGACATTCGAGAGCCAACTAGAGAATAAGGCCAAAATTTGATCATAATAAAAAACCGCAATTGACTAGACGGAACTTTTATTTAAGGGAAGCCGCCCATTTTGTTTGTAACGGCTCATCTGTTAAGCGCATGAAGTTTGAGTTATCGGTGTATTGATAAAAGTGACTTCACATCGCCCACAAATACGATCATACAAACAGATCAAGTTGCCCACAAGTCGACCTTTTCGTCCTTGCGGAACAGTTCTCTAGGGTACCATCACGCAGTCTGAAATGGGAAAACAAAACGTACAGGCTAAAAAAAACTCAGTGGTATTATTTTTAACAAATCACCGGCTTTTCTGCTCTGCCGCATGCGTTTACTTTGTTACTCCACCAATGTAACCGCGCCTACCGGGCAAATGGGGGATTGTTGGCGACATGGGTCAGGTTCCCAATGAATTTGGGCCAAATTTTAAGCAAAGTTTTCTAGCCAAGGAAAAAGGAACTAGAGCTCTTGAAATAATTATTTCCCTTGATGTTTTTTGAACAGTCAAGTCTTTCTGATGATGGACACTTTAATGTCAGCACTCTGCCTTGGAAAAGTGTCCTATGAGTGAGTTGTCTGCAAATAGACTTTTTGATGACTTGCCCTTGGGCTCCTGTCTGAACTTATTTTTGATGTTACAGTAATGAATCGAGCTANGTGTATTGATAAAAGTGACTTCACATCGCCCACAAATACGATCATACAAACAGATCAAGTTGCCCACAAGTCGACCTTTTCGTCCTTGGGGAACAGTTCTCTAGGGTACCATCACGCAGTCTGAAATGGGAAAACAAAACGTACGAGCTAAAAAAAACTCAGTGGTATTATTTTTAACAAATCACCGGCTTTTCTGCCCTGCCGCATGCGTTTACTTTGTTACTCCACCAATGTAACCGCGCCTACCGGGCAAATGGGGGATTGTTGGCGACATGGGTCAGGTTCCCAATGAATTTGGGCCAAATTTTAAGCAAAGTTTTCTAGCCAAGGAAAAAGGAACTAGAGCTCTTGAAATAATTATTTCCCTTGATGTTTTTTGAACAGTCAAGTCTTTCTGATGATGGACACTTTAATGTCAGCACTCTGCCTTAGAAAAGTGTCCTATGAGTGAGTTGTCTGTAAATAGACTTTTTGATGACTTGCCCTTGGGCTCCTGTCTGAACTTATTTTTGATGTTACAGTAATGAATCGAGCTATATTGTAGAAACTAATTTCGATTTCATTTAGTCTTTTAACAATTGTCAGCATTTGGGTGACTTAACTATAAATTTCGAACGACATAACTGCTGCGAGATGACTTTTAGGCGCCATGGCCGCTTTTTTTTTTGTCTTTGTTTATTTGGTTCTTTTGTTTTTTGTATTTTGGAGGTTCAAGGAACGTATTGCAATGCCCCAATGTCATGGAAACAAGGGAAAGAAAACTAAGAAGACCAAAAGTAAAAACAACGCGAAAGAAAAAAAAACCTAGGGAACTGGTGGGAAGGGGACCACTTGACCGTAAACCCTTACTCGTACCCAGTCATCTGTATTTGGATCGCACGCGTGACTCGCTCTCCCCTTAACCGCGCTTCTCTCGTTGAAATATGATAGTAGACAGAGAGAAAACTGGGAACGAGTCAGCCGTAAAGCGTGAACCATATTGCAATAGGAAGGCGAAGGAAGAAGACAGCAAACGTTGTGTGATAGTCCTAAAATTATTATTTGAAATTTTTTTTCCGCCAAACTTCACCTTCCCTTATCCTTTTAAAAACAGATCCGTTTGTAAAAGACTTGAACACAAAAATGTTAAGTGATGATCACGGTAAAACTCACGCTTGCTCTTGGGAGCGCAGGCGACATTGTATGGCGTACATTTGCCGACAAAAATAATTGAAAATAAAGGACAATTTGAAGTTCAAAAATTAGACTATCCATGTCGAAATCTCGTCATATGAATTTGAAATCGCAATGAACGCAGTCGAAATAGCATCATTCGAACTTGAAGTTACT